ATCTATCTATCATCTATCATCTATCTTCTATCATGTATCTATCTATCCATCTATCTATCTATCCATCCATCTAATCATCTGTCTGTTTTCTACCTATCCATCTATCTTCTATCTGCCATCTGTTTTTCTATCAATCAATCAATCTAATCCATCTATCTATCCATCTATCTTCTGTCAACTATTTAAATCTATCTATCATCTATCTTCTATCATGTATCTATCTATCTATCCATCTATCTAATCATCTGTCTGTTTTCTACCTATCCATCTATCTTCTATCTGCCATCTATTTTTCTATCAATCAATCAATCTAATCCATCTATCTATCTAATCCATCTATCTAATCAATCAATCCATCTATCTGTATCTATCTGTCTGTCTTCTACCTAACTATCTATCTTCTATCTATCTATCCATCCATCTGGAAAATCCAACATGGCAAAGTTCCCTAACACACACTTCATAACCCGAGAAAAGGTGATCGCATTTTTAAGATGATGCAAGACTGAAATGTCCCAGCTCCAAAACTAAGAGGAATTTTTGCCTTGTGCAAACAGATGGGATTCTTCCACAGAATGCAAAGTTGGGAATTTGTTTGGCTGGCCAACTACAGAGGTTTCCAATCTGAGAATTGGAGAAATGTTCCCCAGATGTCCTCCAAAGTTGAACGATCAAGTACAGCTTTTCATGTAATAAAATGGTAAATGATCAAAGCCACATCTGGCGAAAGAATCACATTCGTGGGATGTAATTGCATCAATTCCCTGGGTTTAATTGCATTAACATTAATTGCATTGGATGTTCAGTGCAAAACCCAAAGTGAAAAGAGGCCATATTTAAGTTCTCATCCTGACACTACCCACAAAGTTGAAATTAGGCTCTGGTTCACAGCTATGTCTCATCAAAAGTTGAACACTCAAATTAAACTTCAAAGGGTTTAAGAGCTTGCAAAAATAATGTGCCAAAATTGATTTGCTCCACATTTTTTTAAGCCTCTTCTGACAATCCTGTTGAGTGAATCTTCCAAGGTGAGTTTTTCATTGTTTATAGACAGAATCTTGCCAGGCCGAACACTCAACTACCTGCCTCTATAACAAGGGTGTCTATCAGGCTAGAGAACTTTTCCCATTCACTCAACTAGAATGAACTTCTGAAAACGTATCAAAAAGGAATCCTTTATTGAGATGAGACCATTCATGTCGGAGTTCAAAGCAGCGTCTGAGGTCTCTCAGGCATACAGGGATAGATAAGGGAGTTTAGAACCCCTCCCCTTCTCTCGATGTGTATTTAGTGAAACAAAAGCCAGTATGTTAATTCCC